AAAAAACACTGTTTTCACTGAAAAAAAGTCACCTTCAAAGGAAGCAGCTTCCAGTGCCAGTGTGCAGCACCTAGTCAGTCCTGATGCCTTATTAGTCATGATTAATGCAGGTGGGTGAGCTTGGAAGGCAGCAAGTGCTAAATCCAAAGTGGATTCCAGCTTGTCTTCAGCACATTTGTAACTTCCCACCTGCTCTCCTCAGCTGCTGACAAGCTCCTGCACAAAGGGGAGAAGGCCCAAGACACAACAAAAACATCATGGCAGTACCCGTTCTCCTGAGACTCACAATGTCAGTGCTGGTGTTGCAACCAGACAACAGCAACTTGTTTCTAACCTCTAGGACACTTCTGCAAGACCAGAGTTGGAGAGTTAAACCCTGTGCTTCCCCCAGCCAGAATCCCAAAACTAAGCTTTCTGATACTAACAAATTCATAAGGCTGTTGCAGGACTGCTTGAATTACAAACTGGTTTATCAGGGAAGGTTCCTTCCTGGGTTGCTGACTGCAGAGGACTCACCCTCCCATGACTGCACCAGGCTGACACTGCCCTTAAATGTGCTCTTAGCTACCCCAGTTCTCATGGAAGGAACCAGCCACCCCAGGTACGACCCCAGACGTCCTCTCTGACACGCTGCACAAAGCCCACAGGCCAGGCCAGGCCATGTGAGTCTCTGGGCTACACACCTCCTTACACACTTAAATCCACTAACACCTGCTTTTCCTCCCTGATTACATCTCAGGACACGGCACATGCTGTCCCAGCAGAAGCTGTGCTGCTGAAAGCACCAAAACACCCGGGAGACCTCGACGTTTACCAAATAACTCCCGTGGGATTCTTCACAAATTTGCCTTGAGGGCTTGTACCCTCAGAAAACCAGACTGCAGGAACACAGAGGATCCCACATCCCACCCAGCAGTGCAGAGCACAGGGTACATGTGCTGCCTCACACGGAACACAGGAAAAGCAACGGGGAGAAAAATAAAAAAATAAAAAAATAAAAATCACATGGCCCATTCCAAGAGGAGAAACAGTTTAATTCCTAATCCAAATGTCACTGGTCAGCTGATTAGCAGCTGGCCCTCGGCTGAAGCTAGAAAGCAAAAACTCGCAAAATGCACTTCAAAGCGACATGTTGAACCCAACCACACTGGAATTGGGCTGAGGACCACAAAAATCTGCACAATTTACCTCAGATGGAGTTTCTTTTAAAGTGTGATTATTTCAGAAGAAGGTCAGGTGTAATTTTAGTGACTTCAGGTCACGGCAGTGCAGGGGGAGGAAGCCCTAAAGGTGAGCTGGGCAGGGGTCAGCAGAGCCCCCTGCAAACAGCCCAACCACACAATTAGGCAGCCCAGGGGACCCCCCTCCCCACCAGGCACAGGTTGGGCACTCACAGCCTTTGCTGGCCTGCAGCTCTGCCAAGGGAAGTCAGGATGAAACATTCCCACCACGTCCTTCTTTTCAATACAGAGGAAAAAACACAGCTGGCAAATGTAAGCTGACTTTGCACTGGTTTATAATGTCTGCCATTAAAAGCTTTGAAATCTACACTAGCAGGCAGCACACAGGCATGAATGTGAAAAGCTTCAGTGAGATATTTGACAATCATTAAACCTGAATCCCCTACTTACACACTTCCAGGGGAAAAGACCTTCAGAAAAGATACTACTAATTTTAAAAGTGACTTTTCACAGACATGAAGAAACGCAGCCTGCACCTTTTGCTAGAAGCAGAGCAAAACAACCAAAATCCTGCTCACACATGTGCCCCAACAGCACTTACACACCTTGGGTCAGCTCAGCACTCTCTTACAATACTGTGAGTACACAGAGTCACACAAAACACAGCCTCCCCTCAAAAATGGGACACCGGGGCAATCCCCACCTTGCTTTAGCTCAGGAGTACCCATGGCTTGTGGTACTTTGCCACACATGCACATCCCTCAAACTCCTTAGCAAATTCCTGATTTATGGCAACATCCCTCTCAATGTTTCTTTGACAGACACTGACCTTACAACTCCAGTGTGGGGTTTGGGGGTGGGTTTTTGTTGTTTTGGTTTTTTTCTCCCTACCCACAGGCGGAAACAAAGAGCAGCATCTGATTTGATAGCACTGTTTTGTTTTCTTTTTATAACAAAACAGCAAGACAGCAGCCCGACTCACCCACACACTCCAGCAGCTCCTGGGTAGTCACCTCAGCTCAGTGAACACCCCAAAACCAGTAACACCACCCCTCACTGTGTGGCTTTAACCCTGCCCCCGCAGACTCCAAGGCCAGCAGCACTGACCTGTGCAGTCAATCCCTGTGCAAACTTTGAGGGGAATTTTAAGAGATTATTCATGCTAATATAGAGCAAGACAGCTACAAAGACTCAACTGGGAGTCACCTATTGCAACACACTGTAAAAAACCCCACTGATTCAGGGATACCTCAACACCACAGCCAATCACTCAAATTCCTTCTATGTTATTCCCATCTACTTCCTTCCCCAAGGAAGGAATGATTATCCCTGCCCAGGAAAGCAGTAACCAGACACAACTATTTTTCAGGGGTGGGGGTGCACTCACGGCAGATATTTTGGGGAATCTATGCAGAGCCAACAAGCACGTGGAGCCATTTGCCACCTGGCACACCTGCTGCTGCATCCAGGCCTCCACCCCAGGCAGGGCACACCCCTGGCAGCAGGGTTGCTCAGCAGAATTCAGGGTGACCAGGCACAGCTCTGACAGAGAGAGGGAAATCCCAACACTGCCATTCCAAAAGTTCTGGTTCAACCAGTTCCTCAGTCATGGAACTCAAGTCTCCCTCACACCATCCACCATCATCTCAGAGATTCCTTCTTTGAAGCCACTTTGCACCTCGTTTATGCACCAAAACACAGGCCTCCCCTCTGCCCCCTAAAGCAACAGGGACAGAGGTGCTCCTTCCCAGACAGGATACTCCTCCTACAGAGTGCTTCCCAGGGGACTTTTCCTTTTAGCAGAAATAGCCAAGAGCTCACAAGTTGCCTTTTCAAAACTGCTGAAGCACCACTGCAGATACAAAGAGGTTTTCCAGCCGCGGATTCAGACGTCAGGAGTGCAGGGACCAGGCCGCCCTCGAGCTCCCCAGGCCTCCAGCTGAGTCAGGGAGAAAATGCTGTTCACCAGCTCTCAGGCACACGTATGCAGAGCTGCAGCACTTCTGCCCCACGCTGCCTCCCCAGATGACCTCCCTTTCCTACAGAGGAAATGGCATTTTCACCTCTCTGTTCCCTCAAAAGGTGACAAGCTGCAAACCCACAAAGCCACCTTGCTCTTGTCCCCTTGGAGGCTTTACTCAGCAGGCAGAAGGATTTCAGACTGCCCACAGCAGAGTCTAAATGTGAGGACAACACCTGTGTAGCCCATTTCACCACAAGAACTTCCTCTGCCTCGCAGGAACAGATCTCAGCACCTGAATTACAGGCCTTGCTCAGCCTGTGTGGATCCAGGAGCTGCAGCCAAGCCTAGGCCGTGCTCCATCCCAGAGGCCAGCCAAGAAACCAGGAGTGGCAGGGAAAAGCCCCCCCAGGGAGCAGCTCCTTCAGGACAGCGGAGGGAGGGGAGGAACCTCTTCCAGGCAATCTGTGCTTCCACCTCCACCTCTGCCGAGCAGGAGGGCCCGGTGACACACGGGCTCCGCTCCCCGGTGCTGTCAGCACGGGGCAGAACCTGCCAGCAGATTACTCATCAGCACAAACAGCCTCTGCCTTCCTATGTTACCAGGATGAGGCCACCCCGCATTAAAAAAAGACTCTGACAGCTCCTCAGGTTTAGCTCGTGTAGTTCCTGAGCTTCCAGGGCCAAAAGGGCCTTGGAAATACCAGCCGAGGCAAACCTACAATGCAAATTTCAGGAAAAAAAAATAAAATCACTACAGTTACTAGTTAAAAGCCTGGTTTCGGTGCTCCTCTCAGCAGAACACATCAGAAATCACGCCTGAAAGATGGTCACAGACCTATTTTTTTGCACGCTGTGGTGACTTCCTACAAACCTGAACACTGGCAGCGTACACAGAGTCCCTTTTCCATTTTAGGGCTCTTCCTGTAGAAGCCAACACAGGTCCTCCCACTCAGCTCTCTCACAGCAGCTCCCCTCTCCTTCGCAATCACCGGATCAAAACAAAACACAGTTTTGACTGAAATGGCCCAGGATGCTGCAGGAGGGACCAGGAGCAGGGCTAAGGAGGCCAACATCTCCCTGAAGGTCGAGGCTAAGGTTACCAGCCAGAGCCAGCCAGGAGGCTCCTCACATCCCCAACAAATGAAATGTAAAATGATAGTTGAAGCAGCAGAGCTGGTTACAATTAAACAAATGCCACCAGCAGCTTTGCTGCACTGCAAGGGCTGCACACGTCATGAGTTCTGTAATCCCCACAGCTCATTTTTAGTTCTTCCACTGTTTTATTTGGGGGGAAAAATATAGCAATTGGGATCAGCACTTCCCCTTGCAGAAACCCCCCACGCACAGAAATCCCTCATCCCAGGTCACAGCCTACCTATGTGCATGACAGAGCTACCAGGAATTGACTCCAGCCTATAATCCTCCCTGCTTAAGGTAGGAGAGGAGGTAACAACTGAAAAAAGTTAAAGAGTGAAGGCCACTGCTTTCATTATTTACAGCACCTTGTTCTGCACCAAAGCATGTGATGGTTTTGAGGTCTGTTTGGGTTTTTTAGCTCCCACTTTAGGAGAGGTGGGAAACGATTAACTTCGAAATGCCCTCGATTTCTAAAGCATTAAAAAAACCCAAATCTAGCAAACTCGCACTGTATTTACACATGAGAAGACCAGAAACGTCAGCTCGGAGATGCCACTGGACTGCAATTCCACCAAGGACAATGAAATATTCGGGGACCCGGGAATCGAGGGGGAGGCGAGGTGGCCGGGAGAGGCCAAGGCCTCCCTTCCCAGCCTAGGGAGGCAAAGGGGCAGGGAAAAGCAGCGCAGGCAGAGCGCTCCGAGAGGCGCCCGGCTCACCTTCCGCCAGCACCTCGTCCACCGTGACCTGGTGCCGGCCGATGCTGAACACCCGGCCGATGTAGCCGCTGCCCGGGCCGCTGCTGCCGCCGCCGCCGCCGCTGGTGCCCGACCCGGGCCCGGAGCCGCCCTGCTCCCGGCGCGAGTCGAAGAACTTCTTCATGTCTCAGAGGCGGCGGCTCCGGCGCTGGGGGCGATGCCGGTGTCAGTGCCGAGCCCCTCCCGGCTCTGCTGAGGGGCCCCGGGGCCGCCCTCCTGGCGGGGCCGCGCCGCGCTGTCCTCGGGGGACTCACACCTGCAAAAGCACAGCGGGTGACGGGGGGCGGCGACACCCCCGCGGGGACCCCCGGCCCGCGGGGAGCCGCGACCCGCAGCGCCCGTGCCCGGTACCTCGCAGCGGGCGGCGGGAGCCTCCATGCGCCCCGCGGGGCCGGCGTGCGCAGCCCCACCGGCTGGCTCACGGCGGGGGCCGGCTGCCGCCAGGGCCCGGGGCCCGCATCGCTGCCTGGCGGCGTCACCGACGGCCACCGAGCCCGTCAGGGAGCGGGACGCGGGCAGGGACCGACCCCGCCGCCACCGCCCCCCGCCGGCCCCATCCGACCACGAAACGGGCCGTCACAGGAAGTCCCGGCTGCCGGCGGGAGCGCCGCCCCCGCGCCTCCGCCAGCCGCAGGGCCGGGCCCCGCCGCCGCGGGCTGTGCCGCTGCCCGGGGGTGTCCCGTCCCGGGGTGCCCCGTCCCGGGATGTCCCGCCCGGCCCGGCCCGCAGCCCCACAGCGCGGGGCACCCCCGCCCCACAGCGCGGCGCGGGGGGAGCGGGGGCTCGGCGGGATGGCGGCCCCCGCGCAAGGCACGCTGGGAGCTGTAGTTCTCCGGCGCCGGCGGTGGGGGGCTCTAAGCGCAGCGCGGACTACAGCTCCCGGCGTGCACCGCGGCCCCGCGGCCGGCAGGGGGCGCTGTGTGGCGGGGCCGTGGCGGAGCCCCCGGGTCGGGGTCGCCCCTCAGAGCGGCCGGGCTGGGCCCGACGGCGGCCCCGGGGACAGCGGAGGGGCCCGCGGGACGGGTGTCCCCCTCGCCGCGAGGGATGGGTGCAGGAGTCCTGTCCGTGAGCATCCACGGCCCGCGCTGGCGCTTTGCCTGGTGGCGGCTGTTTTATGTTTGGTTTTGAAATAATGTGCTAAACTCGGTGGTTTTGTGATATAATAATAGAAGGCCATTGCTGTGACATCTTGGTTTTTGACCTGAAGCACGAGGCTTATCCTCACACAGGCCCTGCTGCGTCGTTTGAGATCCCGAAAAACTCTATAAAGAGAGGTTTTCCAAGCTCTCAGAACGTGTTTAGTGTTTTAAACCTGGCAGCTGGTTTTGCAAAGCCTGCGCCTTGGATTGACTGTTAAATGACTTGTCCTCCCCACCCCAGTACCTCCCACAGCTCATCCACAGAGCCCAAAGCCCCTGGGTTAAGCTTTGGAGAGGTATATATTAGCTCAAATCTTGTGAAATGTCCTTTAAATTTAACCACTTTGGGTTTTTTTCAGCCTTTTTTCCTTCAGAACCCATGAGATTTTCCCAGCCCATGACATCCACAGCAGCTGACTCCTCTCCACCAGCATCAGAGAAGACCAAAGCTGGGATTTGAAACAAAAGAGGGAAACATTGAAATGGCAAAAATTGGTTTTCCCAGAAGGAGGACCCGGATTAACAAAGCCCGAGGAGCTCTTGGCTCCCGAGGAATTCCTCCATGACGCACCTCTCTCCTTCCTCCCTCTGGCTGGGACACGAGGAAACAAAGGCACGCTCCCATTTTCCTGGTGACTATTATTTCCTGTATTATGGCAATAACTACAGCCATCCTGCTGACAGCCCCTGTCCCCAGGCCAGTCTGCTTACTGTGGGATGACAAAAATGTTTCCACACACACGGCCCTTTTTCTTCATCCTGCCTCTCTTTTGGGCACAGGCTTCCAGCAATGCCAACGAGATTGGATCAGCATGTTGTAAATGCATCTAATTGGTTTTGTCCCCTGGTGTTTGATGACTTTTAAGATGGGTATGGCTCTCAGAACAGGCAAGTAGAATTTGTTACCACAGGCTGGGGGTGATGTTTAGCACCTGGATCTAACAGCAGGTCACTGTACAGTTGTTTCTCTGCTGAGCCACTGAGCCTCTTCACTGTGGGTAAATGCTACACCTCTTCATCTTCCTTGTCCTCAGCAGCTCTGGTAGGTAAGGGCCCACCAGCCCACCCTGCAGACCTCAGAGTCCTCCTTGACCACCTTTAGCCACCCATAACTCGTAGGGTGCTTCAGAGTGGTTCCAGGCTGCACCTCATTTCCAAGTGTCATGTACAAGACACCCCAAATGCACAGAGCTGGAACTGCAGTCATTTCAGCCAGGCAGCCAACATGTGTGAAAACAGTCCTTTTTCATCTGACAGGCTTTAATCTTCATCAAACCTGCTCGGCTTTAATCTTCATCAAACCTGCTTGTGGTTTGGGGCTCTGTGATGGATTTCCAGTGGTCAATACAGAGGGTTCACTTGCCCTTCAGAATAAATATGAACTGGGTGAAGTCTTGGCTGCTTCTATCCATGTTTTTTTATTATTGTTTTAATTCCTCTACCCTGTGACAGATCCCCAGGCATCTCTCAAGACTGAGGTAAAACACCCAGTGCAAAAACCGAGTCCCATCATCAGGGATTTCTGGGGACTCTGCAGAACTGAACAATTTCCAAGGAAATTGGGCATCTCTGTGCAGTACAGGGAAATGAGTCATTTCCAACCGAAGCAGATAAAAGCCTCTGCGTGCAGAGAGCTGCAGATGCAGTGCTGAGCCTCCTCCCTGGCTCCGAGAGGCTTTTTTTAACTGTACCTGCGGTGCAATGCAGTGTCAGCCCCACGCACAGCTGGGGCTCCAGGGCTCTGGGGCTCAGCCCACGGCCCCCAGCCCCACCCGGGACCACTGTGGGGAGCAGGAGCACAGCCGAGCCCATCCCCGGCTGCAGATGCTGAGGATATTCGTTATTCCAGAAGGCACGAGGCTCGGCTGCACTGCTGGAATCCCAGTGACCTTCACAGGGATCAGAGGGAACCGAGCCTGAAAGCTCTTAGTGAAAAAGCTGATCAGGGGCTGCCAGCACAGACATGGCCTGTGCTCCTCCCATGTGAGCCTGGAACGACTCCAGAGTGCTCCCAGAATTGTCCCACTGCAGAGAGGAGCCTCATTCTGACTAACACAGTCCATTCTAAACACCAAACTTTAGCTGCTAAAATCCCTTGACACGAGGTTTAAAATACCCAAGCCCCAGTGGTGTGGTCAGCAGAACTGCTTCCCTGCACATTGTCTCCCTGATCCCTGCTTCTCCTGCACTGCACAGAAAATGCATTCAAATCCCCAGGAAGAAGCACATTAATACAGCTGCATCCCTCTTCATCAAACTTTCCGGACAGCTCAGCGTTTTCTAAATAAAAACACGCGCTTGGAAAGGTTTCCTGCAGCCCCCGAAAGGCGAGGGCAACACTGGCCTCTTCTGGAGAGCTCGAGAAGCGGCAGCGAGGTAGAAAAGAGCCGGCACAGCTTCCTGTGCTTGGTGACGGTTAACTGTCCAGGGGAAAAAAAGTAATGGTCACATTTTCCTGAATTCAGCGCATAATAATTAAGCCTTATCCCCCGGTTATTTTTACCGTGATAAGGACGTTGGGAGAGCGACTTTTCACACGGGCAGCCAGTGATGGGACAAGGGATATCAGTTTTAAACTGAAAGAGGGTAGATTTAGGTGGGATATTTAGAAGAAATTCTTCCCTGGGAGGGTGGTGAGGCCCTGGCACAGGTTGCCCAGAGAAGCTGTGGCTGCCCCATCCCTGAAGTGTCCAAGGCCAGGTTGGATGGGGCTTGGAGCAACCTGGGCTAGTGGAAAGTGTCCCTGCCCCTGGCAGGGGGTGGGACTGGAGGGGCTTTAAGGTCCCTTCCAGCCAAAACCATTCAGTGAGTCTGTGATTCTCTGTCCCCTTAAACACACACATTTACTGCAAAGAAATCTGTTGAGCTTCTCACCAGCTAAAGAGCAGAGCCACTGTTCTATCCCATGATTTTCTGGAATCCAAGCATTTCTTTCCAAGTCCAATGACCCCTAAACACTACCAGTATGACCAGAAAAACCACTCTTCTTCATCACTCTCAAGGAAAGGTCAGTTCTCAAGCATGCTGTCACAGAGATAGGTTCAGATTTGTGCAGAGGAACAAAAAGACTCCAAAACTCACAGCTGTATTTTCCTGTGTTAAAAATGGAGGTTTCCTCCTCTTTGGTGCTCCTGTTTGCCCTTGTGGGAGATACTCAGCTGGTTCCAGCAATGGGTGCACTTCCTGCAGCTGGAAGCCAACACCTTCCATCCAGTGGTAATGGCAGTGCTGGCCTGTAAATGAATATTGAGTAGGCACACATGGAAATAATGGAGCTGACTGAGCCCTGCAGGCTGTGCCTGTCAGATGCAATAGCCTGGACTGACATCCATAGGATGGACCACTGGGTCACAAAGAGCCGTGTTTCCCAAGGAGCATCCCTTTGCACCACAACTCCACACTCTTCTTTAAAGCAGCTGTTGTTATGCTAAGGGAAACATGCAGGTTGGCTCTCCCTGAGAAGGGATTTATCAGCTGTGTTTCAAGTATCTGGGTCCTGAGTGGCCCCTCAGGCTCCCCTTGCCCCAGGCAGCCTCACCTGGCTCTGCTCACACCCTTTGCCCACCGACCATGATCTTTGTTTAAATGCAGGGGATGCCAAGGCTGGAGGTTTGATCCCTGTATGGGAAGTGAATGCACTTAAGAGTTGGACTCAATGATCCTGTGGGTTCCTTCCAGCTCAGAGTGTTCTGTGAATTTTGACTTTGCTGGGTGAGCTCTGGTGCCCTGTTGTAAGTCCCCCCGGTTTCACAGTGTGTCTGCCTTGGTTTTCTGGGTAGGCTCTGGCCTTGCTGCCTGGCTTTGCCTCCTGATCCCTGCGTGGCTGATGAGGCTGGTTGCTGCCCTGGCTATGGGAGAACTAAGTCCTATGTACGAGCTTAACTGGCAGCATCCTGTGCTCCTGGTTTGTGTGCTCCTGTGCAGCAGCCCTGCTCATGTTGTTTTTTAGCACTAGATCCATCATGTTAAGATCATAGAATCCCAGAATGGTTTGGATTGGAAGGGACCTTAAATATGATCTAATTCCAACCCCCCCCCTTGGGTAGGGACACCTTCCCCTAGACCAGGTTGCTCCAAGCCCTGTGCTTAACATTTTTTTCCTTGCTCCAAGCACTGCATCAGTCAGTGTTTCTATCCCTTTTTCCTGAAGGAATGACTGTGTGTGTGCCTTAGAAGGCGCCCTGAGCTGGGCAGTCAGAGCTGTTTCCATCCCCTGGAGCTGGGTTACAGCCACGTTGCAGAGCAGTAAGATAGAACTACACAGAGGCAGATATTAATTAAGAAGAAAAAAGTGAAAGCTACTTGTTTCCTCTTCAGAACTGTATGTATGCTAATTAAAGTAAACATTCATTAAGCCCATTAAATGAAGTTTTGGTTTGATAATGCATTTAAGGCTGCAGGAAGCAGTGATGTAGCAGTTCATAGCCTGCAGCTTTGGGGAAGGAGGGGTCAGGTTGGACCACAAATAATATCCAGCCTCCACAGGGCACTGGGAGTTTCCCTGACTGAGCATCTCCAGGGAGTTGGCAAATGCCCTGAGGCCTGGGCCTTAAATGATATCAGTTAGTCTTGGTAGAGAGGATGTTGAACATACATTACAGTTTGTACAAATAATTATAAGTGCAACTGCAGTGGTCTAGCCTGTCTCTTGTCCTTGATGTAATCAGGCTATACCACAACATACAGTGTAATTCATAAAATCATGGAATGGTTTGGGTTGGGAGGAGCCTTAAAGCTCATCCAGTGCCACCCCCTGCCATGGGCAGGGACACCTTCCACAAGCCCAGGTTTCTCCAAGCCCCATCCAACCTGGCCTTGGACACTTCCAGGGGTGGAGCAGCCACAGCTTCTCTGGGCAACCTGTGCCAGGGCCTCACCACCCCCACAGTCAAGAATTTCTTCCCAATATCCCATCTAACCCTGCCTGCTGTCAGTGTGAAGCCATTCCCCCTTGTCTTGTCACTCCAGGCCCTTGTCCAAAGCGCTCTACAGCTCTCTTGGAGCCCCTTTAGGCCCTGGAAGGGGCTCTCTGGTCTCCACAGAACCTTCACTTTTCCAGGCTGAACAACTCCAGCTCAGCCTGTTTCCATAAGGGAGGCACTCCAGCCCTCCCAGTGAGTAATGGCAATGGCTCATCAGGCAGCCCTAGATCCTGTGGTGATTCCTGTGTGCCTTTTGCCACAGCCTGTGCCTCAGGCTCTGCTGGGAACCTTACAGCAGCCCTGATTTCCCCAGCTCACTTTGAACAGTGGAAGGTGGGACAACACAAGGATCAAAAGCAAAGGACAACTTCTATGACTGCAGGGGGCTTTTTTGAAGGTAAAAATGTCACCCCACAAGCACCTGATCGTGCTCCTCACCCCACTGTGGAGGTGTTTGCTGACTGCCCTCCCCCTTTGGACACAGGCAGCCCACCAGGCAGTCAGACCGTGATGGCCCTGGGCTGTTTGCCTTCCCTGCTGTTTATAGCTTCAGGGCATGAAAGAAAACAGCAGACTGGTCTGGTGGCCACGTGCAGCCTGGAGTTCCTCTGTGGGAGGAAGGCAGAGCGTGTGAGCACAGTGTGTGCTGGGGGACAGGGCGAGGAGAGCGCCCAGAGCGGCAGCATCCGAGGTGCTGTGGGAGCTGTCAGTGTGAGGAACTGTGAGAGCAGCCAGGATCCCCTCCTGTGTGCTGCACAGCACCCCCAGACCACACCCCTGTCTTTGAAGCACACCTGAAACAGGGAGTTTGACTCCTGGCTCTTCACACGCTGCTCACTCCTGTCTCCCCTTACATTGTCCAAGGCTTGTGGGCCACCAAGTCCAAGTGGGCTCTTGTTTTACAGGCACTTTGGGTTACAGGGACTTCCTCAAATCACTTCTGCTCCCCAGTCCCTTCCTGGCCTTGTGTGACATGTATGTTTATGTAATCTACCCAGAGAGCCCTTGAGTGGCACAGCAGTGCTGGTAGGCTGTGCTAAGGGCTCTAAATCTGCCTGGATTGCTGAAGGGGGGAGTGCTGCACATTCCCCTGGTAATACTGACTGTAAAAACACTGTTTCTAATGGTTGTGGTGAGTAATGAAGAGCTAAGAACTTTCATTTCTTACATGAACTGGAATAGTTCGGTCTTCCCACCTCACATAAGCACTGCTTACCTACTTCTGGGAGTGTGTTTCATCTCCCTTCTCTCTTATGTTAAAAGGGCTTTGCTCCAATCATAGAACAAAAGCTTCAGGCTGGCTCTTCCTAAGGTCTTCCCCAAAACACCTCTGCTTCTCCGTCTGACTTGTGGAAATGGATGTTTCACTTTACATGGTGCTGAACTGGAGACACCCTTGCTCTAAGGGTCAGAAGTGCCCCTGCACCTCTGCAGTGAGCCCTAACAGCTGGGATTCACTTTGGGGTTATTATGATATTCATACACAACGTGAGAATTCTTTACCCTCTTACCACCACACGAAAGTCAGTGCTTTAGAAAAGCAAGGCTGCTTTTCAGCCTCCACCCCACCCTCGGGTGCTGCTGCTATGGAGACAGCACTGCCTGAGCTGCAGCATCCAACACAGCTCCCACAGCGCTTGTGCAACCCTTAAATAGCCCCATTGTAGGGGCTGCTGCTTGCAAACTGCTGGTGCTCCTGTATAAAAACAAGCACCTTCCTTATGACCTCCTAAAAGTGCCTGCTTGATCCCCACAGGCCCAAATTCTGGCCCCCACTTGGTGAATGACTTCATTAGTGCCAGGACTTGGAGCTCAGTGAGTGAGGTGAGGCTGTTCCTCTAAAGCTAAAGGCAGGTACTTGGTAATCATAGGACACACTGAAAACCTCTCCTTCCAGCACAAGGCTCCTCTGCTCTCTGAGGTGCAAATTTAAAGGCCAAGTCCTTTGGGCAAAAACAAATGCTGCCATTTTCAAGAGGCTCAGCTCTGTTGTCATTGTGGGACTTTGGATAAACACCCCCTTCCTGATGGGCTGCTGCTTGAGCTCAATTTATTTACAAAATACACACTGCCCTGCCTTTCTGTGACCTTTAATTTTTATTAGGTGTTTTGCAGAGGGGAGAACAGCAGGATGGAGTGGGAACAGAGAGCAGGTGTGTAACCACGTAGAGTCTGGGGCTTTGAGAGCTTTATTACAGAGGGGCAAACAGGAAATATCCATGAACAGAAAAGCAATGTGCTCTGTCACTGCACTGAGAGGAACTGTGGGCTTGTCCTTTGCTGGAGACAGCTGGAGACACTGAAGGATAACCAGTGTCTTCAGCTGGAGACACTGAAGGATAACCACAGCCTCTCCATCCTTTCAGAGATGAAAACACATGGAAAGCTGAGCAGACTCCACACAAAGGGCTCCTGGAGAGACAAAGCTTTGTCATCTGAGCCTCAGGTAGGAAAATACATCTGAGCAACAACCCTTTGCCTTCCTAAAGGGAACAGCTCCTGTAGCAAGGTACAACAGGGTTCCCTAAATCCCTGTCCTTCCATCCACCTTCCAGAGAATCTCAGCCAACTCTCAGCACGCTCAGAAGCTTTTGTACTTTTGTTTTCCTTTCTGGTCCAAATAATTGTGACTGTCTGAATCAGATGGCTCCAGAGCCAGCATCCACAACCAGCCAAGATTACAGGGAACTCAGCTGTGTGTTGCATCAGGATCAGGCTTCTGAATGGACTACACTTACATGACTGATTCTGGGTGGCCAAAAACATCCACACAAACACTATGTATCAGCAAATATTCCTCCTCTCCCAGGGGGAAAGAAAAGGTTAAATTATACAAATGATGAATGGCAGGATTGGTATAATACTTAAAGGATAAATAACTTGCAAAGAAAATTAACAACTCATGGTCTTAAAAAAGTACTCTTGCACATACCAATGACTGCAGTGTCAGAGCCTTCCAGTCCTCGAGGCTGAAGAGGCTGGGAAGCAAACAGAAGGATGAAGCTTTTTAAAATACACAGGCTAAAAATATCCCAGGCAACATAAGATGGAGAAACACAGCAGTTCTGCTGGTGGATTAAAACAGGCCCAGAGCAGGGAATGCTGACGTGAGAGGAAGGGATGAGAATGGAAACTTTCGTAGACGTAGGAAAGAGAAGTTTCTCCTTAGCGACAGTTGGCAATATGTACCATCCCCCTGAATCCTGCTCAGGGGAAAGTGCCAGATTTTGCAAGGAAAGAGGCTCTGCAGTGGAAAAAGAGAGGGCTGGAGGCTTGAACCTGCTTTTGCTGTCACCCTGGTCCATGTCCCCCTGGTGCTGGGCTCCACGGGGCAGTTCTGGGAGGCTGAGCTGTAATAAATAAACCACACAGCTGCATCCCAGCTGCTAAATTTAGGTCCCTTCCAGCAAAAGAACATGTACAAAGAGGCACAGGGGTGAGATAGAGCTGTCCTATGAGCTGGAAAAAAGAACCTGAGAGGGCTGATTTACCCATTTTAGTAATGGTACTTTTGGCATCAGAGGAGACCAAAATCCCTGAGGATAAACACTTGAAGACAAGCTATGTATTATTCAAGGCTGATTTCCCTCTGTCAGCCCCATAAGCATGACCATGGCTGACCCTGGCAGGGTCACATCGGGGTAAGACTGAAGTCCCTTTGCCTTAAGGGTTTTGACTTCAGGGCAGTGCCACATATCAGGGCAAAATTAATAATCTTTACGCAGATAGTCATTCCTACAGAAATCGTGGCCGTTTGTGACACAGAGCTCTTAGACAAGGGGGAATGATGCTGCAGACCCCGAGAGGTGCAGTGGGAGCAAAGGAGACACGACACAGGTAAGAAAAACAACACGCGGGAGGAACACGACTTCTTGCTCGAGGCTGCTCTGCCCGTGTGCTCCACACCGTCGTCCCCCTCGCTCCCCCCTCGGGTGTGCCCTGCTCCGGACAGCACAGAATGAGGGATCAGAGGCTGCAGCCACAGCCCCTCTCTGTTCCCGAGGCTTTTACAGGGAATGCCGGGGAGCGTGGAAGCCATTCCAGCCTGTCAGTCCTCCGAGTAACCCCAAAAGTGCAGCTCCTGCCTGGAGTGAGGCTCCCCGGGGAACCTCCCCTGCCCTGGTTTACAGCCCACTGCTCGGGAAGGGCAGCGAGGGCTGGATCGCTCCCCGTCACTGCCGTGCGGGTCCCACCCCGCTCCAGGGCGGGGACTTCGCCACCCGGGGCAGCCCCAGAGCTCTCCCCATCCGCGCCGGGGCACGGGCTGGGACGGCGGGTGAGTGCCAGCGGACCGGGGGTGTCCCCCGGCGAACCGGGGGTGTCCCCCAGCGGACCGGGGGTGTCCCCCAGCGAACCGGGGGTGTCCCCCAGCGGACCGGGGGTGTCCCCCAGCGAACCGGGGGTGTCCCCCAGCGGACCGGGGGTGTCCCCCGGCGGACCGGGGGTGTCCCCCAGCGGACCGGGGGTGTCCCCCAGCGGACCGGGGGTGTCCCCCGGCCGGCGGGGCCGGGACGGTGCCCGCGCTGTGCCCGGAGCGCAGCGGCCACAGAGCCACCCCCGGGCCGTGCCCTCCGTGCCAGGGCGCTGGGGCAGCCCCGGCGCTCGGCCCGGGCTCGGGACCGACGGGTTGTGGGGAGGGGGAAGGTTCCTGACCCTTCCCGGACACGGGGAGCTCAGGGGTGGGTTCCTCCTGCCGTGCCCGGGCTGGCACGTCCTCCCCGATGGATGCTGGAGGGCGGGGGCACGGCAGGGGTGGGCGACGGGCTAAATGAGGAGTACAAGGCCACAAACGTTATCTTCTTGCTCGTTTTGCGGGCAGCGGCCAGCTAATGGTCGTGGTGTGGGAGGCGCGGGGATGTTTCGGCTGGCTCGGGGCAGAAGGGAGATCCCCTCCTGAGCTGCAGATGGGGCCGGGATCAGAGCCGGGAGCTGCCCGGGACACCCCTGGAGCACATCCAGCACATCGGCGGCAGTGCCGGGGCAGTGGAAAAGCCGAGCAGGGTGTGGGTGGTGTTTGGGTGAACGTGCCCGGAACGGGAGAACTCGTCAGACGAGTCCAGCGTTGGCCTCCACGGGAATGGGTGACAAAGCAGCGGCTTTCACTCCAGAGCCGAGCTGTGGGACTGGCAACACGCTGTGAGCTCAAACTGGGGAGAATACCCCGTGTTTATATCCTGTTGAGCTGTTGGGAGCTTTGCTTGCTGGTACCTGGGTGTGCTCTGAGCAGAGTCAGGAAAACCTGGTTCAGAGCAAGCCTAGGCTTGATTTTCAGAACATGGGATAGTCTCAGCAATTTTCTGATAAATTAACTTTATTCTGGATTCAGCTTTTAGAGGATATTGATATGGACTTATAACTGCCTGCCAGGAAAAGATCATCCATGGAAAAAAATTGAGTAATGGGATGGATGCTTGCACTCTGTCTTCTGGGCACAGTGTTTTGAGCCTGTTCTAAGCCAGGTTTACTGTGTCAGGCCTTTATGCTGGAGTGAAGCAAATAACATAAGGGCACCATAGGACTGGCTGGCTGACCCTCTGCATGCATAGTTTAATTCTTCAAACCATGGAGTGAAGTGTTGCTCCTATCCTGAAGCTGGTTTTCCCTGATGGAGCTGCAGGCCAGGAATTGTGTTAAGCTGCTGAGCGCTGGCAAATCTGCTGAGCAATTCCTTTCTCTCTCTGCTAACCAAGGAGTGGCTTAGGAGGGTTTTATTCACCTAAAGCCTCGGCCTGAGCAGTCTGTGCAGATGCCTTTGGCTCTGAAAGGGTCACAGGGGCAGGGGCCAGTGCTGGACTGCTGAGCTCCCCCCCCCTTGCAACTTCAGTGGCTCATTCACAGAAATACTTCAAGAACAAACCAGCATCTGCAGCTTGAGCAGTGGGGTTTGCAGTGCTGCCTTTTGCAGTGCTCTGCTCTTTAGACTCTCAGTGATGTTCACTGGATGAAGAAATCAGAATCTTGCAGTCAATAGTCAATGTGATATTTCTGCTATAAATGGATATTGTGAGAGCATTTGCCCCCAGTCCAGTCCATGCAGCCTCTCCTCGTGGTCTGGCTCCTTTCTGCCAGTTCACTTGCACTCAGAATTTCTCTGCCTCCCACCCCCTTTCCCTTGTTTCTGACCTTTCTTTTGCCCTTTAATTGACTTGCTGAACCAGCCTGTCTGATGTTCCTGCTGCTGTGTGCAAAGCAGCTGGATGGTAGAACTGCATCATAAAAACATCAGTGAAACCTGAAGCCTCTATTTAGTATCTGACAAAAGCAAATAAAATTGGCTTTTTGCTTCTGTGAAAGATTAGAGAAGAGCAAACATGACTTTTCTGAGGCCTAGGTCATAATCTGAACACTGAAATTTATGACCAGATGAAAGAAAGCAAACTCAACATTAATAATTTCCATATGTTGCCTGATTGCACAGAGTGTAGTGACGTAGAGATGACCTGGGGAACACTGGGGAGTGCCCCTGAGTAAGATCCCTGGCAAGTGTCACCCTGTGAGTTAACTGGCCAGCACAGCACTGCCTGCGCATCCCAGATGTGCAGGAGCCATGTGGAGCATGAGCAAACACACTCCTGCTCTTGCACAACTGCCTGGGCTCATGGAGAGCAGCTACTGAGCACCAGGAGGAGATGTCATCCACTGCTGGCACCTCTGCTCCAGGGCTTTAGTGTGAGACCTCACTCCACCCTGGAGTAAAACCACCCAGGGCTGGTGGGTGGCCTTTACTTGCTGTCCCTGTGTTTGCATCTCTTATTTTTTACTTAATTCCACTCCTCTGTGTGTATGTATTGCCTGCCTTTCCTAACTCCTCTCCTGTGATGCTGGGATAACTTGAGTTGCAGGGAGGTGAACCTTGTCCTAGTGCTTGACATCCTGTCAGATGATCAGGGATATGGGAAAATAATTTGGGTGTGTCGATGTATGGGCTGTACACATGAAAACAAAATTATGAGCAGAAATAAGAACCGTGGCCAGACAGCAATTAATCTTTGGTGGTTTTGAGGTGGTTTTGCCAGCTAAAACTGCAGCCCTACGAGGAAGAACACACTGCACCAAACTGAGATGTTGAATACAAAATGTTTCATTAAAATATAAAGAGGGGAAGTAATTCTCCTGCCCCAGTGCTCGAGTGAGGTTTTCCTTTGTGTGCTCATCTACACCACGACGTTGTCTCTGCCTCCCAGGCAGGATCCATGAAGGCTTTTAGGGCTGTGTGGGCACCCTCACCTTTCTTCACCCTCACCCTTCTTCACCCTCAGGCTCTCACCCGCCAAGGTGAGACCCGTGTGTTTTGGAGGACATGGGAATCCAGCCTGTTCTCTTTGCTCCCAGGGTGACACTGTCTGCTTCTCCTTGTAGCCTCAGGCAGGCTGTCACAAATGTGGCAGTAGTAAAGAATCCTATTAAATTACCAGTGCTAATCACCTGTCTGCCCAGCAGGTCCCTTCCAGCCTGGCCCTGGCCCTGTGCTGTCCTGATCCAGCCTTTGCTCAGTGCAGAGCGGGGCTGCAAAGGAGGCTGCTCGGGGTGTTCACTTCAGCGCTGCTTTTAGTCCTCAAAGAATTAGAGGGTTACTTCACCAGCCCCATTAACCTGCAAGGGTAGGTGTATTCTATTAATTATTTGCTGGAAAACTAACACTCCTTGTGTTTTTTATTGCAGCTGTCTGAGTGCCTGGGACACGGACAATACCAGATTGACCAGACCCCAGCAGGATGGTGAGTGTGTGTGTTTGCTGTGCCACCCTGTGCCAGGCCTTTGCTCCCACCACATACACGTGGGCAGTGGAGCTCAGATAAGGACCCAGCAGGAAGAATGCTGTCACTGTCTGTCCCTTCATGGGGGGGAATTTATCACCTCTCTCTGCTTCCTCATACTAAATAATGACCCACACATACAGGCTTTTCCGTTTGGGGAGTTAATGGAAAACCAGTCGGATATCAGGTAGTTCAAAGAGCAGGAATTTCTCTAGATGAACTTCCTGGATTTATTCTTTCCAGGTTGAATCCAGTTCCACCCTGCTGCCATGGACAGGGACACCTTCCACTAGAGCAGGTTGCTCCAAGCCCCAACCTGGCCTTGAACACTTCCAGGGATGGGGGAACACTTCCAGGGATGAGGGAACACTTCCCTGTCCCTGTTTCAGAAAGCCCGACCCATGTGAATGTTAAGTGATGTTTTGCTGAGGGTTTTCCTGGGAACATGAGAGCTTTGTAAGAGACAGTGTATTCCCCCAGAAATGGCACTGGACAGGAGGCAGGAGGAAGCTATTTGTGAATCTCCATTTTGGGTAAAACACTGCACTTCCAGGTGCGTTTATTTAACAGAATGATGGTCCTTGGCTGCTCTTGGAGAATTCAGGAATAGGGCTTTGATGGGAACATTTCTTCTATGATTTACATGGAAAACTGCTGGGAAGAAGCTGGATGAACAGAGGTGTTAGGCTGTGTGCCATTCTTTGACTGGAAACCAGATACTCCAGGGGCATCCACATTAAGATATTTTCTCCTTTCTGTGTCCCTGTGGCTTATTTCTTATGTGGCTGGGATATCCCTCTAGAATAAACCATTTCTGTTTAGGATGGAACACTGGTATAAAATCACTCATGTTTGGTGAGTGGACTTTACACTGTCACTGTGTTTGCATCTTTTGAATATTCTTTGTTTTTAGTTCACCTCTGTGTACGTATGACTTTGTGTCTGCCTTTCATAACTCCTCTCCTGTGGGTTTAGGCAACAATCAAGGGAGTCTCGAGCTTCAGTGCTGAGCAAGAGGCACAGGCACTAAGGAAGGCCATGAAGGGGCTTGGTAAGTTGCTTTCCCTCCACTGTCAAACCCTCCTTCATGCCCCTGGAGATCGGGAATGTTTTTATGGTGTTTGTTAGAGGGGAAATCCAGCCCTTGGAATCCCCCCACTGCCCTGTGAGAGGGCACTGGAAGGAACTGAGTGACTTGAACCCCACTGGGAATCCAAGTCTTGGCCATAGTGAGGCTCTTGTTTTCCCTCCCCTGTGGGGTGGTCCTGCCCTGCTGGGGCTGTGCTGAGGCACTGCTGCCCAGCTGAGAGCCAGCTGGTGTGCTGGGGTGTGAGGGCTGTGTGGGTAATGGCACAGCCTGGACACGACCAGAGCACGGGGCTGCTTCTTGAACAAGCAGCTTGACTGGTTTCCATTGGTTTCTCCAGGCACAGATGAAGATGCCATCATTGAGACCTTGACCAAACTGAACGTTTCCCAACGCCAGCAAGTTCTGATCACCTATAAAAGCACTATTGGCAGGGTAGGTGTTCTTCAGAGACCAGTGACTGCAGCTTGAATTGGAAGTTGCAGACATTTTTTGGGTTGTGTCACTGGGGTGAAATGTGAACAACATCCCAGTCTCCATGGCAGTGTGATCAGCACAAGCTTTCCTTGGCCAGGTTTATTTTGGTCTTGTTCACTTCTGAGTAACTGTTTATCCAAGGAGGGCTGGAGGATGAAGAAAATTGTGAACAAGTTCTTCCTGTTCTCAAAAGCTGTGTCTTCTCTCACCTCCTTTCCTCTCTCTCTGTCTTCTAGGATTTGATTAATGACTTGAAGTCTGAGCTGAGTGGGAATTTTGAAAAGGTGATTGTTGGTTTGATGACTCCAGCCATCATGTACGACGTGCATGAGCTGAGGAGGGCTCTAAAGGTTTGGAAATCTTCTTTTGTGTTGCTTAAGTTGTGGTCAATTCTGTATGATATGGCATAATTGTACATTTATTATTAATTTCTTATTATTAACTTAAACATAACAAACAAAAAGTCATAGTTGCCCATCCAAACAGTTGTCATAGTCTTGGATCTTGTCTTTGCCACTCCCCAGGGAGCAGGAACAGATGAAGGCTGCCTGATTGAAATCCTGGCTTCTCGCACAAACGGGGAGATTCGGCACATCAACGAGAACTACAAACTCCGTATGTGGAGCACTCTGCAGTCACACTGACTGGGCACTGGGGGTGTGCAGGGGGGTGGAGAGGAAGGAGAAGGGTCTGCCAGCCTCAAGGACTAGAATTTCACCCAGAAATGGAGTGGGTGTAAGTAAAGCAGGGTGGGGTGGTTGGGTCTGTCAGCTGGACATCTGTCCCTGGGTGGATCTTCTGCCAGTTACATCCTGGCTATGCTTCTTAACATTGCCCTGTGCCACTCCATATGGAATGCTGTGATGAAAGCCAGGAAGGCCAAGGGTAATCCTGGCTTGTACCAGCCCTGGTGTGGCAGCAGGACCAGGGCAGTGACCATCCCCCTGTGCTGGCACTGCTGAGGCACCTCCAGTCCTGGGGTCAGTTTTGGATTCCTCAGGACAAGAGAGACACTGAGGGGCTGGAGGTGTTCAGGGAAGGGAACAGAGCTGGGAAGGGGCTGGAGCAGCAGGAGGGGCTGAGGGAGCTGGGGGGGGCTCAGCCTGGAGAAAAGGAGGCTCAGGGGGGACCTTCTGGCTCTGCAACCCCCTGACAGGAGGGGGGAGCTGGGGGGGGTCGGGCTCTGCTCCCAGGGAACAAGGGACAGGAGGAGAGGGAACGGCCTCAAGCTGTGCCAGGAGAGGGTCAGGTTGGACATTGGGAACGTTCCTTCCTGGAAAGGGCTGTCCAGCCCCGGCACAGCTGCCCAGGGCAGTGGTGAGTCCCCATCCCTGGAGGGATTGAACAGCCCTGTGGATGTGGCACTTGGGGACATGGTCAGTGGTGGCCTTGGCAGTGCCAGGGGAGAGGTTGGACTCGATGACCTTAAAGGGCTTTTCCACCCCAAACCATTCCATAGTCTGTGGTGTACAGGGCCCTGAGCACAGTTACACCTCACCCAGCTTAGAGCTGGCACATGCTGTGGACAAGCCCTGCAGGGCTGGATCTGCTCCTCACAGCTGTGCCCTGTGTGTGCCCTGCCAGAGTACGGCTCCAGCCTGGAGGACGACATCGTGTCCGACACATCCTCCATGTTCCGCAGGGTCCTCGTGTCCCTCGCCACGGTGAGTCCGGCGGGGGCAGACGGGGGGAACCTCTGCTGAGGGGCTCTGCTGAGGGGCTGAGGGTTCAGGCTGTCACTGCACTGCGAATCCACCAGCAGCAAATTCACAGATGACAAGTTGGGGGAGAGTGTGGATCTGCTGGAGGGCAGGAGGGCTCTGCAGAGGGACCTGGACAGGCTGGATCCATGGGCTGATTCCAAGGGGATGAGGTTCACCAAGGCCAAGGGCTGGGTCCTGCCCTTTGGCCACAACAACCCCCGGCAGCTCCACGGGCTGGGCCAGAGTGGGGGGTCAGAAAGGGACCTGGGGGGACTGACTGACAGCAGCTGAACATGAGCCAGGGGGGCCCAGGGGGGCAAGAGGCCAATGGAGCCTGGCCTGGCTCAGGAATAGTGTGGCAGCAGGAGCAGGGCAGGGATTGTGCCCCTGCCCTGGGCACTGGGGAGGCCACCCCTGGAGTGCTGTGCCCAGCTCTGGGCCCTCAGTTTGGGAAGGATGTTGAGGGGCTGGAGCAGGTGCAGAGAAGGGCAACGAGGCTGGGGAAGGGACTGGAGCACAAGTGCTGTGAGGAGAGGCTGAGGGAGCTGGGGGGGCTCAGCCTGGAGAGGAGGAGGCTCAGGGGAGACCTTCTCACTCTCTGCAGCTCCCTGCCAGGAGGGGGGAGCCGGGGGGGTCGGGCTCTGCTGCCAGGAACCAGCAGTAGGACAAGAGGGCACAGCCTGGAGCTGCCCCAGGGCAGGTTTAGGTTGGCCATGGGGGAGAAGTTCTTCCCAGAGAGAGGGATCAGCCCTTGGAATGGGCTGCCCAGGGAGGGGGTGGAGTCCCCGTCCCTGGAGGGGTTTAAGCAGAGCCTGGATGTGGCATCAGTGCCATGGTGGGGGGGACAAGGTGGGGTTGGGTCAAGAGTTGGACTAAATTATCTCAGAGGTCTTTTCCAACCCAGTTGATTCCATGATTCTGTGATTCTCTTGCATTTCACCTCATTGGCATTTCACAGCAGCTTCTGCAGAGAGAGGAGCCTCACTCTGGGCATTAATGCCATGTGCTCTTTCTAAATGACCCCATTAAAGTGGATGGTTGCTCATCTCAAAATCAAGAACAAATCACATCTAAGCCATGTTTTGCTGTATTTGTAACCCATCATTCAATATTAACAATCCCATTATGCATCTCCAGTGACTGGTTTTAATGGAGAATTTGCAGGTCTTGCTTCTATGAGTTGCTCTGGTGAAATGAGCTTTTCCTCCTTGTCTTTCCCCAGGGTAACAGAGATGAGGGAACATTTGTGGATGAGGCCCTTGCTCAACAGGATGCTCAGGTGTGTAGCAATGTGCTGCCTTGCAGGAGCTGTCGGGTTTGTCTGTGTGAGCTGGGGGGGAGCTCTGCTTTTTCGGGACCTCGGGTTTTTTGAAGGGAGATGAGTAAGCCTGAAGCTGTGCTGGACAGCAGCCCCAGGTGGAGACTAGATGGGATATTAGGAAAAATGGGTTGTCCATCCTGTGGGAATTTAACAGCCACGTGCATGGGCGACGTGGGTCAGTGGTGGCCTTGGCAGTGCTGGGGGAATGGTTGGACTCAGTGATCTCACAGGGCCTTTCCAAGCCAATGATTCCATGGAGTGAAAATCACATTATGTACCCGTGGTCTTCTCAATTAGCCTCATTTTGTCTGTTCCTAATGTCTTCAAGTCCCTGTATGAAGCTGGGGAGAAGAGATGGGGAACAGATGAGGTGCAGTTCATGTCCATCCTCTGCACACGGAACAGGTGCCACCTGCTGAGAGGTAGGACCCCTGTGATGTCCTGGACTCTATGCCTTGTGTGAGGACAGTACTTTTGTAGGAGCTTTGTACTTGTTCAGTAACTGATTTTGAGCCTTTCCTAAAACCACAGGTATCATCAGGGCCAATTCCATTCAATTCTTTTAGACTGCTTTAGTCTCTCCTGAGACAAAAAGGGAGTTGAGAAAAGCATCCCTGCAACTTGCTCCAACCTGTAAATTTGAGATAATGAAGAGTGACTCCCATGGGGCAGAGCCAGGCATGGACACTGCCTTCATTAACTAGAAAAGCCTTGCAGCAGTGCTAGGGCAATTAGCAAGACAGCTGCTAATTAAAATGAATTATTTCTGAGGGGCAGCCCTGATTTAACTTACAATGTCACGATAATGGTGCAATGTTCACACAGAGCATGAGGAGCTTGATCTTGCAAAGTGATCCCCGGGGTTTACTCTCTGTGCCCTGCAGCAGCTCACTGGCTCTTTTTACCCCTGACTCTCCCTCCTAGTTTTTGATGTGTACAGAGGGATTGCTAATAAGGACATCACAGAGAGCATCAAATCCGAGATGTCAGGAGACCTCGAGGATGCTTTGTTAGCTGTGGGTGAGTTCTCTGCTTTTAAACTTTGTCTGCAAACTGATTAAATAATTAAAGAGCCTGCCTCTTGCCCTGGCTGTTTACACAGCTTCAGGAGGCAGATACTGTCTTTTTTGCAAGCCACAGTCTTTTAATCTTTGCAGATAAAACCTGGGGAGAAAGCTCTGTGCTTTATATTTCTTTCCTAAGAGATGCTTTGGGAGCTGACATTTGCTGTCAGGAAGCTTTAAAGCCTTAAAAATATTTTATTACTGCGCACTGGGCATGGAGACATCAAGTGACAGCAGGTCACTGACTCTGGATGTCTGCACTGTGCTTGCTGACTTGCATCTTTACAGAATAAACACCTGCACTGAGAAGGTGCTGGAAGGGTTTGGAAGACCTTGTCCTTCAGTGTTTATTTGCCTTACTTCTCTTGTTCTTGTCTCCCTTCCAGTGAAGTGCATGCGGAATAAACCTGCGTATTTTGCTGAAAGATTGTACAAATCCATGAAGGTAAAGAGCTTTTGCTGGGAGATTGGTATTTTCCCCCACACACCTTTCCATGCTTGAATCAGTAGCACGACAGCAATCATTAAAGAAAGAGAAACTTTGTGTTAACTGGGGGGGAAAAAGAAGTCTGAGCTTTTCTATGGACCTCCTTTCCCTCAGGAAGGCCAGAGCTCGTAGTGGATCACTGCCTTAATCCAAAAATGCTCTAATTAGGAACAGATCCTGCAGAAAGCCAAGTGATCAAACCTTTGTGTCTGTCAGTGCCCTGCCCCAAACGCTTTGCAGCTGCAGCTGTGGTTGTGTTTCCCAGGGCCTGGGCACAGATGACAGCACACTGATCCGGGTGATGGTGTCCCGCGCCGAGGTGGACATGCTCTACATCCGCAGGGAGTTCCTGGCCATGTATGGGAAATCCCTCCACTCCTTCATCAAGGTGAGCCTGCAGTGTCAGAAACACAGGAGAGAGGTCCCCTCTCAGCACCTCTGGGGTGTTTTAGAGGGAGTGGAATTAAGGAGACTTTACATTTATGTACTGAAAACGTCCCTGAATGTTCTTGGTTATTAAATTGTCGAAGAGGATTCAAACCCTGCGACCAATCGTGTGTGCTGGAAGGAGTCCAGCCTTGTATGGAGCTGTAAAATTAATTGTGTTCCTTTTTTCTGCTCTCTCTAGGGAGATTGCTCAGGAGACTACAGGAAAGTTCTGCTCAGACTCTGTGGTGGGGAGGATTAAAGGAGGCCTAGGGGACTGTCTGGGTGAGGGGAAGCAGCTGATCATAGAATTGTTTAGGTTGGAAAAGATCTTTAAGGTCATCCAGCCCATTAATTATTTCTCTCATATAATTTTTTTCCCAAATACCTTGTTAATTGCTCTGATTTTTGCCTTAGGTTAGTTCATGCTCTGGTTGATAATGGCCATTCTAGTTGACCATGGCCAATCTGCTTTTATGCTTGGCATAAAATTTACCTACTCATTGGGCTGGTAAAGCCCAGCTTAAACAGAATGCTGTAACCAAAGATATAAAAGTTAAATTGTTTCCTGACCAGATGCCCTTTTGCTGTTGTGTTCACCAGCAACACATGTCAACTGAAGCAAACCTGGATGCAGAGTGTGAGAGGCTGCCCAGGGAAAATCTAACCCATCAGTACCTGGAGAGTGCAGAACACAGGCTTGCTTCAGTTTTTTGAGATAATTAGGACACAAAGAACCCGAATATCTAAAATACAAGCATGTTTACATCTTAACTGGCCCTCTGTTAGTGTGGAGCATTAACAGCCTGGCTGCAGGGTATGTATATGTTGCCTAGAGATCTGTTCATGGGGAAGATGTCACTGGTGACATCAGAAAAGCCTCTTGCTGCCCTGGTTAGAGCAGCCCCATGTTCTTGGTCTGCCTTCTTCACTCATGGGAGTATAAATAATAATGGTTATGTTACAAACCCTCCTCTGGATAAAGTGATACCATTGGAATGGTGCCTTTTAGGGAATGACTTGTCCCCAAAATCCCACCTCATGGCCTGGTGCTGGGGCAGCTCCTCAGACCTCCCTGGGGCAGCTCTCTCCAAATCTCCCTGGGGCTGCTCCCCAGATGTCCCTGGGACACATCCCCAGGTCTCCTTAGGGCTGCTCCCCAAATCTCCCTGGGGCAGCTCCCCAGTGTCCCTGGGACATCCCCCCACTCTCCCCCACATGCCAGCCCCATGTCACAGGATCATGGAGGTGTTTGTGCCTGGGTCTCTCCTGGGTTTCCACACCAACCTCTGGCAGAGCCATTTTCCCCAGGCCCTCCACACCTGCCTGTTCACCTGAGCGCTCGCTGTTTTACTACAAAGATGGGATTCTTCTTTGGCTTAGCAACTTATTTTTTACTGCTGGTGAATAATCCTGTTCTGAAGGATCAGACTGAGGCTGGAATGTCACAGCTGAAACACTGAGGTGGCTGCACCCAATTCCATCACTCATCTTCCTCTGAAATAGGCTGCTGCTGGCTGGAATAGGAGATGCCTCTGTGGCCTTCAATAAAGTAATTTTCTCTCTCACTCCTTGGGCTGCCAGTGGAGACACATTCCTGACTTTTGTTGGGAGAGGAGGCAGAGCTTTATCCAGTTCTCCCGAGGCCTCTGCTCAGGACAGGGAAAGGTCCGTGCCCAGCACAGGGGCTGCCAGAGCTGCTCGGGCGGGGGGTGGGTTCCAGTGCCTTGTGTCAGGTTGCTGAGCTTTGAAAAATGAATAAAGAATTTGTTTCTGTACTTCCTGCCCCAGACTCCTATGCTCCTCAGGTGCCTCTTTCCCTCCACAGGGCCTGGCTGGATGGGGTGGGGGGCCCGGGGCACTGTCCCTTGGGTGGGGACAGTTTATAAACCCCCACTGGGGGATCCCCGGTGTGGGGGGTGGGTTTGAGGGGGCAGCCCAGCACCCTCAGCTTGGGCTGGTGCTCCTGCTGCTCCCCCTGGGAGCCCTCCTGCTTTGGGGGCACCACATCCCCTGCATGTGCTCCTCATGCAGGTCCATTCTCAACACACTGCCAATGATTTCACCCAATCTGCACGAGGAGAGGCTCAAATCTACCCTAATCATTTATACAGAATCTGCTCAGGGGATTTTAATGGTGACCCTTTTGCTCCTCTCTGTTCCAAAGTTCCCAGGGGAATCTACCCAGTGCAGGCAGTTGGATGTTTGGAGACGGGAGGCTCTGGACGTGGTGGCCCAGGGTCCCATCTGGATCACCAAACTGTTAAGGAAACTTCCCAGTCTGACCATTCCTGAGGCTCTCTGGCCATCATACTCCCAGCAGCAGAGACTTCCACTGCTGGGACTGGAGCCCAGGGCCTGATTTTACCCTTTGGAAGATGATGTATTTCCAAGGTCTCTACTGAAGTGCAGGAATGCAGAGAAGCTGCTGGAAGGTGACCTTGACAGACTCTCCAAAAGAGGGTGATGTTGTCAGTGGAGCAGGTAGATGGTTCTCTGCAGGACTGATGTTCAGTTCCACGGTGGGCACCCAGAGCTGTGGGAGTGGGAATAGCACAGAGGTTTTGGAAGTGCCGGCAGAGAAACACCCTCGGTCTGTAGTGTGATCACAGAGCAGCTGCAGGAGGTTCCTTGAGTTCAGCTCACTGCCCCTGCTGATACCGGGTCATCTCCTGCTCTGGCTTCCACCCCCTTCCCACAGGAGGTCAGAAACCCCAGGCTATTGATAGTGTTGCTCAGGGCCTGAGGATGAGACTGTAACCTCGGCACTCCAGGGGATGGCTCCGTGTTCTGTTGTTGCAGGAATAGGGACTGGACTTGCTGGAGCCCAAGAGGCCCCTGGTTTGCCACGAAACGAGGGAGTTTAGTGAGAAGATGCAGACTTGAATACTTTGAAATACTTGCAAAATGTGGAATACGTAAAAATTTTCTTAAGAAAGGATGTTCTTTGATGTTTGATCCTTGTACACATTCCAGCCTAATCAACAAGAAGGGAGATTTAATCCATGAAACAGCAGCCAACAAACAAGCTCTAAGTGCTGTGCAGGTGTTAGAAAAACAAATTACTTGCTGGTAGAATTGCCTCATTAAGGTTTAGGGCTGGACATGCTCCAGTGATCCCAGGCCAAGGGGGAGTCTAACTGAGCTTGGGAAGAAGGATGTACCTCTGACAGTGGGCACAAGGAATGCAGAATTTACAGGTCACAGAGACATCTGGCAGGACTCCTAAGGTAAGGAAGAAACTGATAAACCCAACTCAGCAACTGGGCTGAAATCAGCTCCAGCTGCTCAAAGGTGATTCCAGCAGGGGCAGATCACAACCACCAAGCCAAGAAACCCCCTGACCCAAAGGAAGAGAAGGTCAGGCATGCAGACTAATTACTGTGAGAAGCAAATCATTAACGAACAGAAGACAGAATACTAATTAATAAGAAAACTATGTAACTATGTAACTATGGTAGCCAATGAACACTAGTTCCTCTGTTTGCTAAAATGTATAAATAATAAAGTTTCAATAGTTGGTGTGCTTGATTTTTGGAACTCCAGTGAGCACCCAGGCTTGTGCAGCTCTGACATGATTAAATGTCCCTCTTGAGTGTGTCGTTACTGGAGCGTTGCAAAGGCGGTGAAGAATCCCATTCTTTGCAGACACCGGGATCCCGCAGCGCTCTGAGCTCCGGCAGCTGCAGACACGCAGTGCTGGGGCATTGCAGGGCTGAACGAACCCACACAGTGGGAAGGGTCTGATCCCTGGAAAACCCCCCGGGACGGGCCATTCACGGGGCAGGAAAATTCCCGTTCAAGAGGCAGGAAAAGGCCTGTTCCCAGGTCAGGAAAGACCCACTCATGGAGCAGGAAAAGGCCCGTTCATGGGGCAAGAATGGCCCATTCCTGTGTCGGGAAAGGCCCGTTCCCGGGTCGGGAAAGGCCCGTTCCTGGATCGGGAAAAGGCCCGTTCCTGGGGCGGGAACAGCCGCGCTCAGGGTCAGGAAATGGCCCGTTCCCGGGGCACAGAAAGGCCCGTTCCCGGGGCAGGAACAGCCCCGCTCAGGGTCAGGAAATGGCCCGTTCCCGGGGCAGGAAATGTTCCCCGGTCCCAGGAAGTCCGTCCGGGGCAGTCCCGCCGCGCAGGCGCAGAGGCCGCGGCCGCCGCCGGCCGGGGCTGAGGCGCCGCTCCCGCTCCGGCCCCGCTCCCGCTCCGGCCCCGCTCGGCGCGGCCTCATGAGGCGGCGGGGCCGGGCCGGCCATC